GCCCAGGATCGAACATTGTTTCGTTCTGCTGTGCATGGGGTCGCTATGAGTCGGTTCCGACTCGATGGCACCTGACAACAACAACAACAAGTATAGTGTATCAGCATCATTTCTGCATTCAAAACACTAACTCTTTATTGCTTACAAAATAAATACTTGAGGCCTTTTGATATTCTCAGATGAATTGGATTCCTTTCCAAACCACAGTGCCTCTATATTTATTATAGGTTTCTGTCAACTGGTTTTCTAGTCATTCTCTGGACTCTCTTCTACTAAACCTTTACTTAGAGTACAGATCCTTCTATCTCTGCTTACCAAAATCTTACCATCTTTAGAAGTTAAACCACCTCCTCCATAAATCCTTCCTCAATTATATCAGTCCATCTCTGATCTTCCATAGCACTTTGTGTTCTTTCTTACCGTAACCATCATATTAACTACCATTAGCATACCAACCACACTATTGATTAAACTTCAGACAATACTATGATCTATTGAGTTTAGAGTTCTCAACAACACTTAACATGATGCTTTGCCTAGAGCAGATCTTCCAGAAAGGTTTTTGGCATTTGTAAAGGAGCTCTGGTAGCGTAGTGGTTACGAATCGGGCTGCGAACCTTAAGGTCAGCGGTTCGAAACTATCAGCCGCTCCGCGGGAGAAAGATGAGGCTTTCTACTCCCGTAAAGATTTACACCCTCGGAAACCCTGTACAGGGTCGCTATGGGTCGGACCCGACTCGATGGCACTTAACAACAACAACAACAACAATAGTAGCCAAGGAATCTTAATGTTGTTGTTAAGTGTCATTGAGTCGGTTCCAACCTATAGCGATCCTATATAGGGTTTCTGAGAAGCAGCTGGTGATCTTGAACCACCGACTTTGGAGTTCAAACTGACTTTGCAGTCCAGTGCATTAACCCTCCATGCTACACTAGGACTTCAATCTTAATGTAGCTCTGTAAAATACACACTGAACTGTTAATGACAAGGTAGAAGGTTCAAACCCACCAGCCACTCCTCAGAAACCCTATACAGGGTTGCAGTGAGTTGGAATTGATCAACAACATCTAACAACAACAACAATGACCATATATATTCTAGATGGAATTGAGAATCTTTTGTTGGGATAGCATCATCACCTTCAACTATTGTACTCTATCACTTGGGTACCTATGGATCATTCACCTTTAGAAAGCCTTATGTTTCAAGGCCTCCCACTGGTTCCCTCTCTAGCTTCATGGCTAAAACAGAGTCCCATGAAATAAATGAAGAAAATATCACCAACTATATGAAGCACTCTTTCTCATTTTTCCCTCTCTTTACTATAATGATATTTCTTCTTTACAAATGTCTCACAAATGCTTTGTTTGTATAAATTCTCTAAATTTCCTGCGTTCGTCTCTATCAGAGACTTTTAATAGTTTCCACCTCATTGCTGCTCTCATGTCTCTTCTAATGGTGTAAACTTCCATGCACAATGATGTTTGTCTCTAGAGAATGCTCCTGATGTAGCACCCTATTGTAAAAATTACTTTTTTTCTGCCTGCTAGCCTTTGAACAGCCAATTTTTACTGATGAATTTTATCAAAGACTTGGGACAGGAAAGAGGAAACTCTGAGCTTGGAGGGACAATTTTATAAATCACATCCTGGAAGTACATCTGTCTCTTGAGGCACACATTCACTGAAAGTTTGCAAGTGATTTACCTTTTTATCCCAAGTGATTATCATATGGCACCTTCGTCTCACTTTGTTGGTCCAGACTTTCACTAATCATTGCTTTGTACAGCAGGGAGACATTTTAAAGATAAATCTGAATGTGGAAGGCTTCCGTTATGATTATATTGACCTACTAAAAAAGCCAGCAAGAAATGAGCAGCTAATATTTAATGAAGAAAGCAATAAGGTAAAGCAAACTACTAACCCTTGGTTATTCATTTCTTTTGTTTTGAGGTTAGTCATTGTGCTCTGCAAAAAAATATAAATAAATAAATAAATGACAGCCTTCTTATGTGCTTTGGTCAAATCTCTCAATGGAACTGCAATGTGAGTTTCTTCGCTCCTTACTTGTGATGTACTGCTTAATTCTGTTCTCTCCTATATTGTTGTTTCCTTCTGGATCATTCTTTTAAATACTGGAACTGTAGCATTCAGGACATTCAATCAAAGGCCATAATGTCACCACAGACCAATTCTAGCAGCCTCCCCATTGTTCTTTAAATTTTACTTCTTTGTTTTTATTATATTAAACTATGATTGAATTGCTTTATAATACCCAATCTTGAGAAGGAGCCCTGGTAGCATAGTGAGTTACAGGTTGGGCTGCTAAACCACAAAGTCAGCAGTTTGAATCTACCAGGCACTTCATGGGAGAAAGATGAGGCTTTCTGCTTCTGTAAAGATATACAGACAGGAAAACCCTATAGGGTCACTATGAGTCATAGGGTCATTATGAGTCAAAACCAGTTTGCTAGCACTTAACAACAGCCCACTCATGGGAGCACTTGTGGTGCTGTTGGATAAACATTGGACTGCTAACCACAAAGTCGGTAGTTCAAACCCACCAGCTGCTCTGAGGAGAAAAATGAGATTTTCTGTTCCCATAAGAATTTAAAGCCTCGGAAACCCTAGACATAATTGCTCTGAGTCAGAACCAACTTTATGGTACCTAACAACAATACATTCATACTCGTACTTTGGACATGTTCTCAGGAAGGACCAGTTCCATGAGAAGGACATCGTGGTTGGTAAAGTAGAGGGTCAGCGAAAAAGAAGACCACCAATGAGATGGATTGACAAGTAACAGCAACAATGGGCTCAAACATAACAATTGTGAGGATGAAGCAGGACTGGGCAGTGTTTCCACAGAGTCTATTGTATACAGGGTCACTATAAGGTGGCCAACTCAATGGCACCAAACAACAGCAACAACCTACTAGAAAATCTTAGTGCAGGAAATGTGATTGTATTTTGTTGCCATAGAGTCTACCTCTAAGATTATATTTCTAGTAACATGTACTAAAATTTAGAATCCAGCTGAAATAGAAATACAAAAATATTTAGAGAAATGTTTAAATTACTTTCAAACATATGCATTACAGATGAATTAAAGCATGTAGTAAAATCTGCAAATATTCACAAAGTGAAAATGCATCATAATTTCAAAAATATTATTGAAATTATAACATCATTATAGATTTTCTGGATAAGTTGCTCATTCTCTATTCCTAGCTGCTAGAGTATAATTAGCTCTTGACTTTTTTGCTTTGCCAAGTTGCCTGCTCCCAATGTTTCTTTCCTAAGTAGATGAACGAACAAGTAGAGCCAATGTTATTCTCAAATGCCTCCAAAATAATATACTTCTTGAGACATGAGAGCTTAAAAAAATGTCTCAATTAGCCTATGGAAGAAGATTTATAAACCCTTGAAGTCAGTACAGTTCTTAAGACTTCCTTTCTACAACTGAAATCTATGTCAAGGTCTAGTACGATCATGCAACCATTAAACATCCATTGAATGCACCACCCTTTTATGATAAAGCCTGCAGACATGTAAACCTGGTTCTTCCCTATGGCAAAGGAAAGCTGCCAAAATGTGGTCATCTTGTTTAACCTTAGCTTTATTTTAAACTGTCTTTGGTTTTTCAGATTTTTGTCAAAATCAGGTTTCCTTTATCTCAACACCAACAAGATTTACTTGTATATTATGCATTGACCTATGTTTAGCAGCATCCCTGACTTCTACCAATTAGACACTAGTCATCCCTCACCACCCAAGTTATGACAACCAAAAGTGTCTCCAGACATGCAAAATATTCACTGGGCAACAAAATTGCCCCTAATTTAGGACTACCAGTCAAAATAATAAAGAACAACATTAAATGCACCTTGCTTTCTTGACTAAGTTCTGAGAGTTAAATAAAAAATTATATCATTTGTTTCATTTTATTCTAAACAACTTTTTCATTGTGAACCAGGGCCATTTACTAAGAACTCAGAAGCAAAAATTATTACTACCAAAGCAAACACAGTAAAAATGGGTTTTCCTTGCTTCTATTTATCTTTCTTAGAAAAAGAAAAAAGAAAACGAAACCTATTCATTTAAATAGAAGGCAAGGTTTATTTTCATTAAAAAGTAACTTTCATTTTAACATAAATTGAACCACATAATAGACCATCAGTCATTTAGGATAAAAGTGAAGGTGAGTAATTATAGCTGTCAAGAACTCTAGTTGACATAATTTCATGTACATGTTCTGGTGCCATGAGTTCAGAGAGCAAAACGAAACTGCAGCTATAATCTTCACTTTTAAACATCTCAGTCACATTTACCTCCTTATTGCCTCTACTATTTGTATTATTATAGGTCAGATGTAATGATTCTCTAAAACACTATGTGGGCAGATAACAGGAAACACACAAAAAAAGCTTATCAGGGAATTACTGTATTTAACTCTGATATCTTTAAATGGTGCTGCTCTTCCTAGGAAAATCATTACAGTCAGAAAGAACAATTCCACAAACAGTACTTCAACCCAGATATTTTCTCCTGTAGATAGCGGAGTGCTTTTCATTTTTCTGACCATAAAATGCAGCAGATGGAATTAGGGAATTCAGTAAATGCAATGTATGTTGCTTTGCTAACAGATTAGTGATGGCGTTTATCCCCAAGGGTGAACACTGAAGCTAAATCCACAGTAATATCTGAAAACTCCTAAGGTTAAAGGGAGGCACAAAGTGTTCAGAGACTTGCCTAAAGTCACAGACACTATTTGGTGGACAATGAGGACTTGCAATGCTGGCATTTAGAGTTATAGAATTTTAGTGCTAGGAGGGACTTAGGAATCATCTGTTCAAATCTCATTTTATAGTTGAGGAAACTGAGGCCAAAAGAGATTTAATATATTACCCACCAAAAATCACAAAAAAATAGCATAAAAATTGGTCAGGTAGCCCAAATTCTCCTAAATTTCAGACACGCACTTTTTCCCCCCTAGAAAATCAAAGGAGTGCTCCAAAGAACTTGTGTATGTAAATATGCTATTTTGGAATGATCCTGTAGCTCTCTATGCCAACCCCTCCTTTCATTTCAGCTGTTTAAGTGATAGTTAATAAAGCAATAGCATAGAAGTACTATTATACCAGAAGTTCAGTGGACTCTAGTCCACTGGCTAAGAACAGCCTGTGAGCCTCTCTACCATTAAGCCTGTTCACTTGGCAAGTGAACTCTGGGTTAGGAAAGAGGTTCTTGAGACACTTGCTTTGGAAAATGGGGACAAAATGCTCCTCACTACTCTCATGAATTGAGTTTTGTTCTCCCAAAATGTGTGTCAACTAGACTGAGCCATGATTCTCAGTGGTTTGGCAATTATGTACTGATGTAATCATTTCCTTGATGTAATCTGATGTGATCAGCCAATCAGTTGTCAGGGAATTAAGGTAGAATGCAACACCCTTACTTAGGTGACAACCATGATTGGATGGAAAGTGAGTTTCTCTGGGGTGTAGTCGGCATCACCTTTTACAAGACATAAAAAGAAAGAAAAGCAAGTACAGAAAGGTGGACTTCACTACCACCTCCTAACCTCTCCGCACTGACCTCAGCATTTTCAGGCCCTCACCCAGCCTCTGCCTAACCGCCTATACCCTTGCATTGTCCAAACAGGAGAAGGCATCCTATGGCACGGTAGCTACCCTTAGGCATGTACTCTGGCAGCTAGTTTAAGGTAGCTTTGGAAGGTGTGCAACCTGGCCAAGGACCTGTGTAGGGTGTATACCCTCATAGACCTGAGACTTTTTTTTAAAAGCTGTCATAAACGTGACCACCACTCGTCTTTCAGTTTGTAGTACTGTGGTGGCTTGCGTGTTGCTGTTATTCTGGACACTATGCCACAGGTATTTAAAATACCAGGAGGGTCATCCACGGTGGATGGCTGAGTTTCCAGACAAGATAGAGTAGGAAGAAGGCGAGATGGACTACTTCTGAATATTTAGTCACTGAAACCATTATGAGTAGCAGAGGAATACTGTCAGATAGCACCAGAATGTTAACTATTGAAAAATAACGAAGAGCACCAGGATATTCTCACATAGAATGCTGGAAGATGAACCCCTCAGGTTGGAAGGCACTCAAGATATCATTGCAGAAGAGCTGCCTCCTCAAAGTAAAAGTTGACTGTGATGATGAGAATGGAGTAACGTTTAAAGGACTTTCATTTGCTGATGCAGCACAACTCAAATTGAGAAACAGCTGTAAACATCAATTAATAAATGGAACATGGAAATTGGAAGTTGTCAAAAATGAAATGGAATGCATAAACAATGATATCCTAGGCATTAGTACATTGAAATGGACTGGTATTGGTCATTTTCAATCTGACAGTCACATGGTTTACTATGACAGAAATGACAAATTGAAGAGGAATGGCAACACATTCACCATCAAAATGAACATTTCAAGATCTATCTTGAAGTATAATGCTGTCTGTGATAGGATAATATGCATAATATCCATACACCTACAAGAAGACCAGTTAATGCAACCTATTATTAAAATTTACAAACCAACCACTAAAGCCAGTGATGATGAAATTGAAGAATTCTGCCAACTTCTTCAGTATGAAATTGATCAAATATAATCAAGTTGTATTGATAATTACTGACAATTGGAATAGAAAAGTTGGAAACAAAGAGGAAGCATCAGTCTTTAGAAACAATGGCCTTTGTAGTAGAAATGATGCTACAGATCACATGATAGAATTTTGCAAGACCAATGATTTCTTCCTTGCAAGTACCTTTTTAAACAACATAAAAGACAACTATACACATGGACATCACCAGATAGAATACACAGAAATTAAGTTGACTACATCTGTTGAAAGAGATAGTGGGAAAGCTCCATATTATC